AGCCGGAGACTCTACGTATTCCTTAACCCGAAATGTTATTACTCCTTTTCGACAAAATAGTACAGAACTAACCCAAGAAAGAAGAGAAAAATTTAACAAGTATTTTTCGAAATTCAGAGTGCGAGTGGAGAATTGTTTTGGTATGCTTAAGGAGAGGTTTAGTAGTTTAAAAGAGCTCCGGTTCCGGCTTACCGATGAAAAAAATTACAAAGCTTGCTGCAGATGGATATTAGCCTGCTGCATTTTGCATAATATTTTACAAGAACTAAACTCAACAGAAGACGACTCTGAAGAAGAATGTACCTACCCAGAAGATGTGTATAACTACAACGATTTAAGAACTGCTTTAACCAAGTTGATAAACAATAAACACTAAACAAGTACAAAGAACGCATTTTTATTTGTAAAAAAAAAACGTTTCACTTTTCATTTATCCTTTTTCACATATGTATATATTTTTTTTCCATAATTTTTTTATATTTTTTACATTTCTTTCATTTTTATCTAATTCACATTTTTGACACTTATTTCATTTATTAGGTACATTTGTAGATTTTGTAAATCTTTTAAAACATTCGTAATTACTTCACTTTTTTTCTTTAAAATAGTTTAGTATACTTATTTCCCTCATGATGAAATTATACCAGGTGTAGTAATAAGAGCGATAAGAAAAATTTGACACTATCCTATCTGAAAATTTGATTTTAAAAATTTCTATAAGATAGCCGAATGTCAGGAAAATAAAGCAAGAGCGCTGTTTTATTACCAAATCTATTTATAATTTAACCATGTATTTCCCTTTTTTATATTTTTCACTTTTGAATTTTTAATTTTTCCATCTCTACACGCTCCTGCATCTCTATTTCTTTCATTGCAATTTTTTCTTTCGATTCTAATTCTAATAATTTAAGTCTTTCGTAAGTAGCATGTTTCTCCTTCTTTATATTAAATTCCTTTTCCTTCAGCAGAAGCTCGCTTTCCCTTAATTCTTTTTCCGCAACAAGCTTCTCCTTTTTGAACTCCGCCAATGTGGAATGTACTTCAAGTACATCTGCAAGTGCTGTGCGTGAATAAATCCCTTTACGTGGAACTAGTGGAGTTTGCGCTGTAGTGCGCGGAGTTTCTACCAATGTAGCGCTTTCTTCGACAATTTCATAAAACGCAGCTGGGCTTCGTGATGTGTCTTCTGTTGGGGCGAGGACAATATTTGGTGATCCGTCATCTACTGAAGCAGTGGAATATTCCATAGTGTTGCTGTCTTCTGTATCAAGTACAAAAGCATTAGCCTGATGTTCCCTATAACCGAATATCTCTTCCAACTCATTATAGAGTGGGCACTCCCTTAGCAGCGTATCTGAAAACATGTAATCAAGAAATTATCAACAACATTTAAAACCTCTATTGTTAATATTGAAACCTACCTCGCGTTGTTTCGCCATCTCGCATAGTCCCAGCCCCGGTGGATTTGTTCCATGTCTTGTTGTAGGTATGCCTCAGATTTTTGACCTTGCTGCGCACCGTTGACCATTCTATCTCAAGCCCATTTTCGCTCAAGAAGCGCTTGTAGTAAAGCTGCGCATTTGGCTTTTCGATTGGCCTATTTTGGCGCAGAAAATTTACCTATTGCTGCTGCTCCCACTCGCTCCATTTTCGATATGGCGCTTTGCGTATACGCTTTTTCTTAACCTGCAAATAATAAAATATTTTTACATTTTTATTTAAAAATCACAAAAATTCACTTACTTTTGCTTTCAATGTTTCTGCTTCCATGTTTCGTCGCAAAATATAATCAGCTGTTTGGTGATGCCAGTTTAACACAAAAGATAAACACATGCCAAAGCAAGGCAACTTTAGCCGTAAATGGTATCTCTAGTTTGTATGCGAAACAAAAAGAAACAATGATACCAGATGGCAAATTCTTTTAAAGTTAGTGTATGGCAAACTTACCACACCACATAATACGAAACTGTGAGTACCCTAAATATACTTCAAAATACCATACATACTTGTGTATAAAATTTGTTTATACTCAAGCAGTCAGTTACAATCTTGCGTAAATAGAAACATTTAACATATATAATGCAGAGAGAGGCAGCTGCACTTTAAGACATTCTTCAGGAATGTATTACAGAGTTGCTTAGCCTCATCCTTGCGAGGACTGGACGCTCGCGCAGGAAGTGTTCGACTGTCTCTTTTAAGCTAGGGTCATCGCAACTACGACAAAACTTTTGATCCAATCCTGTCGGCATGTTAATGCATTAACATTTTTTCATCAGCATTAGTTTAGATAATTTAATGAAACAAATTTCATTAGCATTATGCTTTCAGAATTAATGACTTGAAGTTTTTATTTGCATTAAATTTCAAAACCTTATGCATTAAGCACAATTTGTTCATTAAAAAAATCAATGCGTTTTTCACTATTCCGGTATATACTCATCAAAAGCTCAGTGGTTAAAGTTTTGTGTGAAAGCCACTTACGGAAATCAAAAGCATGTCAATTAAAATTTTTTTTGGACAGACCGAAGACAGAGGCAAAAACTGATGCGACAGCCATGACCAGTTGCACGGAGTAGAAAAATTTTACATACGTTCGTACGAATGCAATGGTGCAGCAACAAATAGTAGAAGCAACACTCGCTAAAGCAGCTGCGATAACGTTTTCCATCAACTGATTCCCACTCACTGCTAACGTGGCCATTTTTTTGCTGCTCCTGCAGTATTCCTTTTCCACTGCAGCGAAATCGAATCATATCCGCAACACTTGAACTGCTGCCGTTTATTTTAACGCTCGCTCTTTCTTTTCCCTACTTTCCAGTGTTATGCTTATTTTTCGACTTTTTCCGCCTCTGGCTACGCTCTCTGCACCTAGGAATTTCGATTGTGGCGCTTTTGAACATTGCTTTGTCGTATACGTATGCGTTTTTATCTTGCATGTGCAGTCATTGCTTTGAAGAACTCCACCCCGTTTGCGGTTCGACCCCTTTCTGTAATCGCGTAACTCACGGCATCCGCAACCACAGAGGAAGCCAACCGAATCTTCCGACCATATGCCTAATTCTACCCCGAAAGACTTTTGATGCATTGCGCTTCAAATTGCTTTTTTGGTGTATTGTAGTATCACACACGTATGTAGAAATACCGCAAATGGTTTTCGAGAATGCCTCTGGAGTAGCAGTTCTAGGTCCGATATACATATGTAAACCCGGATCGTTTCATTACATATCCCGACTATTGTGGGAGCGTTGCAATGAATATACGGCAATTATTTTCAACAACGTCCTGTCAGAGGCAATCGTAAATTCCTTACAATAAACTGAACGTAAACTAAAAGATATCGAACTTGTGAATTTTTTTTATCGCATGCTTTTTAGCACAACTTGTTGGGCAGAGTCTGGCAGCTTTCAAAGGAAAGTGAGCAGCAAAACCCTTGGAATGCAAGGTTGCTAGGTTCTTCTGGCCATGCATTGAACGGCGTCGGACAAGGGGCCCTTTAAACTGAACAGGTCACTTCTCCCTCCACCGGTGGAAGTTCTAGCCGCCAGTCATTGTCCTATTGGACTTCATGCAGAAAGGCTAAAAATCATCCCAGCAGCTGAACGAAAATTGGGCACTTGCGAAATTTTTTTACTACAAACCTTAAGTCGTTACCGTTCAACCACCCCTTGTCTACCAATTACGTAGATACACAAAGTGAGCCCCAATACCTCAAAAGCTAATTTTACGATTGAAAGTTGGTCTTCCATTATTTATTTACCCCTTTTGGAAAACTTTCAGGGAGGAAGCATTTGTATTATAAGCTTTCGACCCGCAAAACTAAATCTAGGTCCCCGCCTTCCATCGAAGCCAGCACTTGCCGCCACAAACGCGAAAATGGCAACCTGTTAAGTGAGAACTTTTCCGTTTAGAGAGGACCTTGACTCTCAATCGCCTTCTAATTTCAAAGTTTTCCAGGGATACCATGTTCAGGTCTAAATTTACATCAATAAGTCAAAGTCAGTTCGCTTACTGCAGTTTACTAAAGAAAAAACTAAGTCTGTGTGTCCCTGCGCACGGAAAAAGTTAAACTGAAAAATTAGCAATATATTTAGCTGTTATTTTTGCACAAGATAACTGCAAATCAAACTAAATTTGAGTGCTTAAGTAGATTTAAAAAAAGGAAAATATAAAATAACTAATCATATTTAAAATGGCATCTCAATAAAAGTATGTCGTATATGTATTAGAGGGCTGCATGAATTCATTCAAATTTCTAGCCAAACAGAGTACAGTAGATTTGAATATTTTACTTCACATACAAAACACTCAGCGTTTGGAATTTTGTAAGTTATGAATATACATTTTGTTTTATATTTTCTACCTTCAAATGGAAGAATGTGAATGAATGAATAGAAAACATTCAAATCATTCACACTCATTTCGGTAAAAGTTTATTTCTACAAACAAGTTTTTTTCGTATATAATAGGAATGCAGCAATACATACATACATACATACACATGTACTTTTGTACATATGTGCGTAGAAAAAATATTTTTGGATATTCATACCAAGGCGAATTTATATAAGGTGGTGTTGTTTAATCAGCTGTGTGTAGCGTTTGATTGTCGAAATTTATATTTTGCTAGTGAGTGAGTGAAAACGTGAGAGTGTTTGCATTTTCTGTCGCCCTTTTTCATTCGGAGAAGAATAGCTGAAATTTGACAGTCACCAGCTAAAAGCAAAAACAAAATAAAAGTAATTGTTGTATTTGTTGAATCGATACCACCTTATATGAAATCGCCTTGATTCATACAAAAAATTGTCATTTATTTCAATTTAATTTATTTTCACTTTGTTTGAATATTGTAATGTCGACACAAATATCAGAACAGCTATTCACTCAAATTCAAGAAAATTTGAAGCCAAAATCATTAATTCGTTTTGTATATAAATAATTCATAAGCCGTTTTGAATGCATTCATGCAGCCCTCTAATATGTATGTGTTATTCTCTTTACAGTATAAGCTCCATTTTTGTGGCCAAAAGTTGCATTGTTGCACAAAGTGCGCATCAGAACTACTAACGGAGGTAAAAACTCTACAAAAGTTAAATGGACATACTTACTATAATGTCGCCTGACGTCGTGAGGGCAAGTGAACCAAGTGGACTAAAAAGCTGAACCGCAAAGCAAGTTCAACAACATAGAGTCACAAACACCGCAAAGCAAATATGTAGACTGCATTAAGCTATAAAGTTTGTAAGTCGTAAATGCAAAAAAAAAACAGTATTTACAACAGCAAACCAAAAGCATGCGCGTTTTGCAAAAAAGCTAACGCCAGGACACCTGCGCCTTGAACATAGCTAAAAGCGTCAGTTGCGACCTGCAACAAGTACCACATAACTGAAATATAAAACACACCAAAAGCAGCTACATAGCACACATTCATTGAAGGTTGCTTCTCCCTCCTATTGCTAACCAGCCATCACATCACACATTATCTCCGACGGTCTGTGGTTAAGCTGCAAGCACAAATCCATATACAATGCCCATGAATACCATCACAGTTGTAGCACGCGTCTTTGTTTTTTACCGTCATTCGCCTTCTTCTCGCCTAACATCTACATATTCTACTCGCATTACACACGAAGCCACTAAGCATATTGGCTTTATCTCCACCGCCATGGGTCAGTTTAAATGTTGCTGCGTGGACACTTTGTGTGGAATAAGGAGTTTTTTGCCCATCACCATCCGCCCCCGGAGTGGAAACGGAAGTGATACGTTCATGTTTGCACAAGGTAAGGGTCAGGAGTTCACATACACGTATGTATGTACACATGATCACGTTAATATAAATAATAGCACGACCGCGGCTACGCTTGGACTTTTACATAAATATGTATGTGCTTACGTCTGCAAAATTGCGAATGGATTTATATACATACAAACTTATATATGTACATCATACATGCATATGTATATGCTAACATACATTTTTATCAACAATATATAAAAATTCCGCTTGTAGAGCTTTAAATTTGAAAATTGGAAGCAAATATTTGCGCCAAAATTTTTTTAGGTCTATTTTTGATAACAGTATAGCTACACATCCATGGGCATCTATATATTGGTTTATAAGTTCGTGTCAGCTGAAAAAGTTCCAGTTTCCATTAAACAAAATTGAACTACTTCAATACACATAGATTAATTCAACTTTTTTTGTAAGTCATCATTAGATCAGGCAAGTAATTAAGTGGAAGCTCGCTTCAAATTTTTTCCTATTTCCGAATATGGTTGTATGCCTTTTTATTTTGATATCGGCGTACAGTGGGAGAAATCATGAAAAAGCTGGCCATATATAGTAAAAATGAACGGAAGCTTCTTTAGCTTAATATTAGTGTAAGGTGTTAATATAAACAAACCCCGGCCAAAGATGCGCCAATTTTCAATTAACGGTATTTTTCAAAAACTCAAAGTGTTATATTTGGGAAGCTCTAGCAAAGAAACAAAAGGTGATAGAACCTTGCACTTAGGCTTCAATTAAAGCTAGAACTCTTGACTACTGGCCCTGAATACCATCCCTGCATCTTAACTAAAAGGTCACTTACTAGTCAGTTATTGAACAGCAAAAACCGACTTTAACAAAATTTGTTTTTTTCCAATATTTTTTTGTTATTCAAATAATTACTGTTGTTACTTTTTGGAGGACTGATATATATTTGCAGAAAAATTTTCCACCGTAAGCCTACTTTTTAGTGCATTTTCTAAGCGATTTCAAACATATGAGAAATGTATCTAACAGGGCAATTCTGTCTAAGATAATAAAAAGTCTTTCGTGAGACAAATGAAAGCCAGATGACAAGATAGCTAGAAAGACTTTTGTTATTCTGGCACAAAAGTTTTAGAAAAAACTCTCTCATTCACCACTCGTGGTGAAAAGAGATTTTGAGAGAAAGCACTTTTATGTAATTTAATTTTGATAAAGCACACGCGTGCCATTCGAGAAATCCGAGTTCGAGTCCTCACACAGCGGAATGTTCTTATTTTGTTCTCTCTACTTTTTTTCGTTTTTAATTTATTTTTTTCATATTTATTTTTCAAAGGGATATACTGTTTCCGAAGATGTTATCATATCCTATGTTGCGAAAAACTCAAATACTGATCAAAGCCAAATGGCTTGCTTTAAACTACTTAAAAAGGATGTCGACATCAAGTCTTTGCGAAAGATAAACGTTTAGCTTAATAACTCGCCTGATGCATTTAGCTTGGTTTTAGACCCGGAACTTATGCCACGGTTCGGCGGAATTATATCCGTGATAGTTATGTGGAAACACCTTATATTCTTCTTCGGTGTTAAAAACTATACTATAACAATATCTTACTGTTAAATTAAATGATTTGGTAAGTCGATTTCATGAGGTTTATATAAAAAAAAAATGGGGCGATTTTATTTCGATATTCCACCATACTTTTCATTTCTTCATGACATATGCCCACAAATAGCAAAATCCTGCTTCGTCTGCCGCGCTACACTCGTACAGTTAATTTTTCGCACCACATTTCGCGGAGGATATGCCACTAGATCCCGCGCTTCATCCAAACGCGACGGCGAGAGTTGTAGAAAAATCTATCAGAGGGGTCAAACATACTTATTACTTGTTGAATTGTTTGTGTGGACCACTCCTAACATTTATGTAGGTATACAATTTCTTCCTAATTTTAATATATTTAAAAAAACTCTTGGTCCAAAATTTGCCTCTACTATAAATCTGGCCCTGACTGCTAATCCATATGAATAGATGAGTATACCATAAGGAATAAGGCTTTTCTCGCCCAATAAGCATTGAGCTTGGTTAACAATCCGAAAATGATTGGAAAATCAATCCTCTTTTCGAGTCTAACCTCCGATAACGAATGTGCAATAGGTTAGTATTCGATTCGAGAACTCGGCCATTCTCCAGCAAAATGGAACCTTCGTTGTCTAATGTATTTTCGCTTCGTTATGAATTTGAAATCCAGCCCATTATCGAATCGAGATTTTATTGTGAGAGTGTGATTTTCTAAAATATTTCCCATCGCCAATGAGTTGGATTTCACCTTCTCTCTTGTTACCATTTTCATTTCATTTTTTTTTTTCGAACCCATTTCGAGTGTATTTCAAATTTACTTTGAACGTTGGAAAACTAAGATGGTTATGAGATCACTCTCAGTTCGATATTCCTATTGGGTAATCACGACAATGTTTATTGGGCATTTTCATGTTTTATTTTATTATGTATTTTTCAGGTTGCACGGCTTACGCAACTCGTCATTCACACCCATATGGGGTCACTTAATCCCAGATTATCAGGGACACACAATGGTTGCCACACCTAAAAACTACACATATCCAATAAGTACTGCTCAACAATTCGGGCAGTTGCATGTGCCAAGTGAACGCAGATCCCTTGAAGAGTTTCGTAGGTAAACCCAACTAACCCAAGTAAGGCAACTAATCAGAAAATAAGCTACTGCATACATACTAGTTAAGGAAGGTGATAGTTAGATGAAATGAAATGGCAGGTGGTGATGTGCAGAAGCTTTAAAACCAAGGGAGGTGTGGTGGAATAAAGTAAGCTGCTGAACCAAACATGACACTGAACTTATAGTGTCACGCAACACCATTCCAAACAACTCACATGCGTGCACTTGTATCTAAAACTAACTGCATTAAATTTGTATAAGTACGAACATGAATCGAGCTCGAAAATGTAAGTTAAAGTGCAATTTCGATTTACTTTACTTATTTCCCTGAACCTGTACAGGTTTTTACACCAGTTAATAATATTAAGCTAAGCTGTTGTCTGCTTAATTTTTGGGTGAGAATGTATCTTGACAGCAAAAATATCCTTTTCCTTCAAAAATGCATGCATTTAAGCTCCGTTCTAGTATCAAAGTGTTTTAAAAAATAAGCGTGTGAGTAGCGAATGTTTACTTTAATCCCCAAAATGTGGCACTACGTATGTATGTTCATGCAATAAATACAATGAGGCTAAAGCAAAATGTAAGAATGAGTATATTTCCTTTGCTTCATGCGGAAGGAAGGTTATAATCGATATGTAATTAAAACTGCTATTAGATGTTGCTATGTTAGTATGTATGCATATACCACAACTGCTTATTCAGTCAATAAATATACACTAACAGCATGTTTTTGTAATAATCCTCAAGGAGCTCAACTCACCTCTGAAGAAAATCTCTTGCAAATAAAAATAAACGACGAAACAAATGTTTATGTGCGCATAACACATACATACATTCCTCCGTGGACATGCTGTTCAGGTCAACTTGGTCGAATATTTGCCTAAGACTGCGAATTGGCCTTTGAATGTTGAGGATAGCATTGTGTACATATCGAGCCCTAACCGCCAAAATAACGTAATCGACATTTTTTTCAAAATTTTCTTTTTGATGCAGAAATATTCCTAGAGCATCTAGATACATTTCTGCATCAAAAAGAAAATTTTGAAAAAAATGTCGCTTACGTTATTTTGGCGGTTAGGGCTCGATATTGTGTACTATAATATGAACTGCAAATATCTGATGGGGTATGCTAACATAAGTACATACATACATACATACCTATGCATATAAGTATGAATATAAATATGTTGATATGTGCATTGGGATGCCTTGCAAAAATTATTGCGGCATTCCCAAGAGAATTATAATAGTGTGTCTCTTTTATGGCTCCCAACAAAATTATTCATTCCAAAGCTGGACCTCTGTAAAAATAGCATAACTCATTATACAATTTTTAGTTGGAGCCCCTTTTGTAGTAAAAAAAAATAAGTTTTTAATTGCAAAGGAACGCTACCTTAATATATCTGCAACAAAACTATTAACTAAAATTTCAAAATACAATAATACAATTTTTGGTGTGATTTTAGGGATCGAATGTGAGCGCTCCAACGGTACGGCAATGGGTTCACTGTACATTTCTCCTCTCCTGGATCCAGGCAGACACTTCAAGCTACCCCAATCCAAGGCGAATTAATATAAGGTGGTGTTACTAGCTCATCTGATTTTGTGTATGTGTTTCGCGGCACGGCTTCTGATATCAAATTGAAAAATTTTGTTTGAATTTCTACACACACTCTTACAGATTTTGACAGTTTATGCCGCCAAAGCAAAAACTAAAATACATGTAAATTTTTGTTTTTGTACTCCTGCTATTACCTTATATAAATTCGCCTTGAATAAATCCGTAATTTCTTGACCAATTTTCATTTCAAAAGCATAATTGAAAAAATTATTTTCTGCTATTCTTCTCATCTTTTTAAAACTAACACATTTATTCAAACAATGTGTCAAAAAATGTTGTAATTATAAAGGGCTGCATTAAAAAAAAAGGGCCAGCCTTTCTTGTAGACACGGTTGTGGGTTTTACGTGAATTTTTAACACTGAGAATTTCTTTGGATTTTCATATTTAATTTGCTCGGGTTTAGGAAAGAAATTACTTACATGACAACAAGAAAGCAGCAACAAATTAGTTATTTCTCTCAGATTTAGCACCTGGAGTATAAGAACATAAGAAGTTGCAGTGGGTTAATATCGCCTATGTCTGCTACCTGCAGAGCCGAGTGATGGTCTCTGCAAACTCCGATGTTAAAATTTGGTTTCCTTGCTGGAAACATAATGTTGTTTTTCTTGAAGAGAAGCGATTTTTCGCGAATGTTTGGAAAGATACATCCATGCTCGTACGTGCGTCCTTTCCACACACTCAGTTCCCTCAACATCAGTGCACTCTGAGAAGCT